CCATGTAGTAATACAAAAAGTGCTCCACTGTGTTTTTAAACTCCATACACTACAATTATTTTATGTGATTTCAGGCCTGGAATTGACCTAAAGGTAAAAGGTCGCTGTTAACTTGAAAACTAGCTCTTCAAGGCGTCATAAAGTGAAACAGAGCATTTTGATCTTTAGAGATGTTTAGAGAGCAGGGTTTATAAGATTTAGCTTCTTCCTGTTGCTTTTGTTCATGCAGCAAAGACAAGGCAAATAACATTAGAAATATGTATTCATGTTAATTGACAGATTTTGTTGTTGTTGTTCTCTTTAAATTGATGCCAAAAAACAATAGCATGAGCAATAAATAAATAAATTAATAAATTAATTAATAAATAAGATGTAAACAGAACAATAATGCAGGATTACTCAAACATGTGTTAATGCAACAAAACACAAGCCTGATTCATCAGCCAGTTTCACTTCGTTGAAACGGTCTGACCTCGCAGCATTAGAATTCGTTCGTTTGATGGGAGGGTACTTTTTTATTTAACCAATCACTGCTATTTAGTAGTATGGTATATAATGTGCTGCTAATGGCACTAACTGGTATCTTATGCTTTTCCCAAATCCCACAGGAAAAGGGTAATAACATCTTTCCTTTTTTTCTCTTTGTTCCGGCTTTAAATCCTCAATCTTGGGAATTGTTGACAACACTGAATATATGTCTCTTTGCTGATTGGCCGGTGCACGAACTTGCACTTCTGGGGTTTTTGTGAACCGTCTAGTGTATTTTGATTCCTGACCTAGTTGCTGGAGAGAAATGAAACTGAGTGGAGGCACTAGGTGGCACCAGCCTGGCTAACAAAACACAACTCCAGGTATGTTTTTGATGAGCTAACGATATTCTAACATGGCTTAAAGCTCACAAGAGTCCATTTTGCGTGACATAGGACCTTTAAGCAAATTACATTTTTGATCTTGAACTTTGAACATGAACTTGAGCATGTGAAATCGGTCCCAAGACAAATTCCTTCCATAAACGATCATCTAATCATCAGTTCAAATATAAAAATATAGACAGAGGTACAAACTCACTTGATGTTGACATGTTAATTGTTGCAACATCAACACAAACTATTGAATCTTCTTGGCACCAGTTGGTATAATTATAACTTTGGACTTCATTCAAAGTTTAGCAACAGTGTGAGGCTTATAGGTTTATATGTTTATTGAACTTGCAGTCTGTTATTACTATTGTCTATAAATCAAGTCTGTCTTTTTTATTATTTATTAGGCAAAACCTACACACGCACATAACACAAACTTCACACACAAACTTCCTGCTGTATGGTAAAAGCAGCAATTTGTGGGATGAAAATACACTTAAGATATTGCCTAGAGATAAATAGATTTTATCACCTTTAAATTCTCAGTAGAGACCAGTATTTTGTTTGGGTGTTGACATTTAGCTTTATCTGAACACTTTACTGCAAAGAGTAGATTGCACAAAATGGGACAACACACCTCTCTCATCCACTTTTTAGACTAAATAGGCTGGTAGATGAGTTTGTAATCAATAAAAATTGTATTGTCTCTGAGTTGTGTTGAATGTGAAGTAAAGCAAAAAAAAAGCTGTCAGAAAAACAGTATATGCTAAAAAAAATCATGTCACGATTTTCTCACTCAGAGCATGTGAAGGCTGATCAATAGGAGTAGAGTGGGAGAGGAAAAGTGTTCATTTTCATTCACACATGTTTGAGTAACTCTCTACAAAGCTCGAAATGTTCTGTTCCTCTTTGTGATGTCTTGTAGTGGTTGCTTGTTTCGTGTCCCTCAAGTGGGTCACAAGAGATTTTTTTGGGGGTCGCCTTGTCACGATCTGAATGCAGTTCTGCAATATACACTTCTGACACATGTTGAAATGTTAAGACATGTTTTGTATAATTTCTAATCTTTTTGTTATTATTTTATTGACTATTTTGTTCCAATGTTGCTGGTTTAATTTAGCCAGGCTGGCGCCATCTAATGCCTCCGCTCAATTTCATTTCTCTCCAGCGACTAGGTCAGAATCAAAATACACTAGACGGTTTACAAGAACCCCCGGAAGTGCAAGTTCGGGCACCAGCCAATCAGCAAAGAGCCATACATTCAGTGTTGTCAACGATTCCCGAGATCGAGGATTTAAAGCCGGAACAAAGAGAATTTTTGGTGAATTTTATCAAGGAGAAAAACATTATTGCCCTTCTTCCTACGGGATTTGGGAAAAGCTTAATATACCTGTTAGCCCCGTTAGCGGCGCATTACTTATGCCATGACCAAATAGCAGCGATTGGTGAAATAAAAAAAAGTACCCATCTATCGTCGAGCTAACAAATTCTAATGCTGCGAGATCAAACAGTTTCTACAAAGTGAAACCATCTGATGAATCAGGCTAGGTTCAATTGAACGCTGAAAGGAAAAAGAAATGGGCTACATTTAATATTACAACTTATGGATCCCTTTAATCACTGGTTCAAATACAGTTTTTCATTGTTTTTTTTGTTTTGTTTTGTTTTTTTAATCAAAGGCAACAAAATATAACATTTAACAAAATACAATAATCAACATAAAAACAAAACACAAAAACATAGAGCAACACCTATAACAAATGTAGTTAAATAAAACAAAAGTAATGTAATAGTGCAGTATAAACACACTGCCAGTTTATAATTAAAATTCATTTTCCTTTCTCTCTCTTTCCTTTTCCTCCATTTTTTATAAACATTTTTAATCACTATACTTAACTAATATCATTTTCACCATCATTATTTCCTTTCATAATCTTTCACTATTTATTACAATCTCAAAGCATAATTTTAAAGACATTTCCTTTTTTTGAGTAATATTAATTGTTCAGAGAGACACGATCACTCAGTCAACAATACAATATCCTCATTAATGTTCAATAATGGTCAAATGCAACTTTATTTTGCGATTTACGAATAATGTCTATGGACTTGGGTCTCGAAGAGTTGAGTTGTGACTTTTAAAATATGGGTCCCCGGAAAAAAGTTTGTGAAACACTTACGTAGAGGTTCCTGTTTTAGAAGAATGTTTTCTGTTTGAGAGAAGAACTCAGCGTAAATATGCAGGATTTGTGTATTAAACATGCGTGACTGAAACAAAATTATATCATAAATCAGAAAATCGAGTTAGATGGGCCTTTAAGAAACACTGAATCTGATCTGAGAAGACTAAAAAGTACAGTATATTGTCAATTAAAAGAGATCTTAATTTCATTTTTTATCACTCTATCACCCAGCCCTATGAAACATATTTTTCACTCATGGTTCAAAACACCGTCCTGTTAACACCTTTGTTTGTGTAGCTTCTAGATCTCGGCCACACGTGAGGATCTGAGGGGACTTGCTTTATTGAAACAACTTAAGATAAAGAATGGGCCTGTCGGAGAACGTTTGTGAGTCATTTTATCCTTCAGGGAGTTTTCTGTCATTTACCCATAAAACATGTGAAGAAACTCTAGCTCTCGCCCCGCTTTACGTGATCACATGATGCAGAGATGTGTGACAGAGATTAGTGCTACAGTTTCTATGCACTCAATGGACTTTACCCACATTAGTTTACAGGAAGAGAGCAGAACTGGGACTTCCACGGTTTAGATTATACGCTTAAAAAAAATGAAAAGACAAGCGTGGATTTCACTTTTTGCAATGCTGGTTTTGCCTCTTGCACAAATGCATTGGATTATAACTGAATCTATACATTAATTTCTTTTTATTTTGTTAATACCTTGCAGTAACATCATGCTGGGGCTGTCCTACGTGTATCTTTAATGGAGGAATTGTAGGCGTTACCATGGTTACCACACAATGCACACATTACACTGCAAAACCCCCCAAATTTGGTCAAGTTAAGATGACTTGAATTAAGAAAGTCTTGTCATGATTTCAATAAATTTCACTTGACAAGTAAAATTATCTCTTATTTATCAATAAAAAACTTACTTACTTGCTTCCTTTTTTAAAAATTTTAATCTTTAATTTTATGATGATTATTTATGTTTTGATTTGTTTTAATTGTGATTTTAATGTTTTTATTATTCTGTAAAGCACTTTGAATTACTTTGTGTACAAATTGTGCTATACAAATAAACTTGCCTTGCTTAAAAATAAGAAACAAAACCGAATATTGCTTGAATTAAGAAAAACAGACGTATTCCATTGGTAGATAATTTTACTTGTCAAGTTGAATCGACGCAAATAAAGTAAAATGTTCTTAATGTAAGTCACTTTAACTTACCTAGATGTTGTTTTTTTCCAGTGTAGATCGTCTGTTGTAGTTCCAGATAAATCATTTGTTTATGATCAGATGTGTGAGTGTTAAATTAACAATTAAAGTCTAATAAAGCATCAATTATCTTTATAGTTCTGGCAAGTTTAGTGTAGTTATTTATTCAAGCACATAAAGTACTGCCATTGTATCCTTGGGCAAGACACTTCAAAACCCAAAACAGAACAAATGCACTGCCAGACACACTTATAATTTCTAATACACCAGATGTCCCTGCACTCCAGAAAATAATGTGTAAAAGTCTAATGTATGAACTAGGGATGTAACGATATCCAAATCTCTCGGTACGATATTTTCATGATATGCGTCTCACGGTACGATATTTATTGCGATTATTTTGAAGACGCTGATATAATTGTAGATAGGAGACTTTTTTGCTTTTAAAATACCTTGACAAGATTTTGGTGTGAATTATTTCCATCATAATCCCAAGAATTCACATCAAAAACATATTTCTTCATGTTGTTTGCGCTGAAATGAATCATGGGATATGTAGTCCCCTATGTTTATAAGTTGTTACTATTATAAAACCATGCATTTAAGCAAAGGAACCTGTAATTCGATATATTGTGACAGATATTAGGATGTTATTGTGAGACTTTTGACGATACGATATCACGATATTTCGGTTATTGTTACATCCCTAGTGTGTACTGAAGAAAACTCACTGGGAATAGTTGATTATAGTTCATTTATTTACATTTGTTTTATTTCAACAGACAACAAAATCCCTGTTTTAAAGGTTTGTTATAAAAACAAAACAAAACAACATTTCTTTATATTTGTGTTTAAATGTTTAGTGACATTTTACAAGTTCATTAAAAGTGCATTGTGTAAATTTTGTAGTGAAGGGCCTGTCAAATGCTTTTCTCCATGGAGATGTTATTGCTTTGTCTGGAATGTTTCACAAGTATGGCATTAAACCTTTCTATCCTCATGGAGACCAAGTTACAGGTCAGGTCTCTGGAGAGGCAAGCTTGCTCACAGTCAGAACGCCAGTGTTTTTCAAAGTATTGATTTTAGCTTTAACACCACCTGTAATTGAGTAAATGTAAAGTAGAGCTGTTTAATGTCATACGGTGGAACATTCCAGGCTGAGCAATGACGTATCCATAGAAACAAACAGGTGACGGATTGCCAACCACAAAGTTACATAGTGCACCTTTAAATATAAAAAAACAAAACAAAACAGCATTAATCCAGTGTAATACGATTACATATAAGCTGTGTTGAGTAATACTTTGTACATATTAAACAAAAACAACGATGACATAAAACCAAACCAAAAATGCCCAGCAAGATTAACATTTGAAGAGTACAAAAAACCCCCCAAAAAACTTTATATAACTGACATAGATTGTCTCAAATGGTACTCAGAGATTAGCTGCAGGTTTTCTCCTCACACATAGTTCACATATTATTTTCTTTGCGTTGTGGTAGAGGGGAGCGGGTCAGGGATGGAACACAATACAAAAGTACAGACATGTTTTGGAAGGTCATGTTACGTCTCCACCAAGGAAACTTTTATTCAGACCTTATCCTTGCGATGGCTGCGTTTCCTCCTGCTCTGAATTTTCATTAAAGTACTCTTCAGTTTAGGATCTGCACAAATCGGTCGCTGGTGTCTTTTTACATAAAGACTGAAGAAGAAAACAAAATATAGGATTAAGATTAAAGAGCCCATATTACAGTATTTTCTATGTGAGACTGTTTCCTCATCTAAAATATACCCAGAGTTGCGTTTAGTTTAGTTTAACAACACCCAAACCCTGCATACTTAGGCTGAGTTAAAAATTTTATATTTCAAAAATGAGTTTAAGACTTACATGAGTGCGGAGATGTCACAGGCTCCACTGCTGTGTTGTATCTCCCATCTCTGAACATTGAAAAGGACTCGTGGAGCGATGTCACTTCTGGTCGACATGCAGCATCTGGGGATACCAGCTATGACAATGAAAATAAATTAGCATGGATTAAATTAAACCGAAATTAAACACATACAAATTGAGTTGCTAATTGTGCATATATGAACTACAGTACTAGTATTAATGATTCTACACCACAGACTGTATAAAGAATTGAACTAAGGGAGTCTGACATCATCCATAATGTCCGGCTCCGATCAAATGAAGCTCATGAGACTAAGAGCGAATTTGGAGCCAGTTCTGTATTAGAATAAGAATATATTTACAGACAAAATACAATATATAGCAAAATAAAACACCTGGATCATGTAGAGTGGGTCAATACGAACATTTTAAGACCCAAATAAGGAGACTGACAGCAGCATTTCAAGAGAGAGGGGCCACGTTTTTTCAATACAAAGTGACCTGGAACCAGAAGTGCCCCCATGCGCACTTCCTGTTTGGAACGTGGCATTTATAGTGAGTTAATTATGTCCATTTATTAATACAATCTGTTATAAATTATTGTGGGTTAGGATTGAAAGAACTTTGTGAATGACTGGTAGCATTGAAGCTTGTTTGAACCCTTGTAATTAAAATTTATTTAAACCCCAATTATTTGATTTTTACGTTTTTGTTTTGTTTTGAAAAAAGTCTCATGTTATTTTTGTAGAATGCAGCTATGTCAGAAATCGGAATACACTAGACGGTTCACAAAAAAGAAGTTCAGGCACCAGACACCAGCCAGTCAGTGAAGAGCCATGTATTCTGTGTTTGCAACGATTCCCAAGATCGAGGATTTAAAGCCAGAATAAAGAGAATGTTTAGTGAATTTTATCAAGGGGAAAGATATATTGCCCTTCTTCCTATGGCATTTGGGAAAAGCTTAATATACAGCAATTGGTTAAATGAAAAAATGTACCCGCGTACTGTCGAGCAAACAAATTCTAATGCTGCGAGGTCAAATGAAACCGGCTGATGAATCAGGCTAGAAGCTTACTGCATGTAGTGTAAAAAGCATACATTGTGATAGTGACATATTTTTAGGTTAATTGTGATTTATGATGAATCCTTTTTCTACAAATATTTACTCTTGGGAAGTTTAGATAAGATAACATAAGCTGTCAATGTATGTGTCACCTTCCCATGACCCAGTTTGGCACACCAGATGCAAGCCTTTACATTTTGACAAGCTGTATATGCTTCAAGTCTCCAACAAAAGGGAACATCTGTAGATAAAATGTCTGACTGGATCCAGAATAATGATCTTAATTTATTACTTTTGACCCATTTAATTTGATTTTTAAATTGCATTACTTGTAGTACATTGTAAGATCACAACTGTAAGTTCTAAGCCATGTTATAATGTTGCTACCTCATTAAAAATATACCTGGAGTTGTGTTTTGTTTAATTCACACATGTTAAATGAGTAATTCTTCATTATTAGTCTGTCTCAAAATGCTCAGTTCCACCTTGTGATGTCATGTAGCAGTAGTTTTTTTCACGTTAATAGTAGATATTAACAATTGCAGGGCTGAAATTATCCAAATGATTCTAGTGAAGGCGAATGGAATTTAAAAACAAAGTGGAGGACTGTATTACCACATGACATCACAAGGTAGAAAAGATTGTTTTCCATTTGAGAGAAGAACACAAATATGAAGGATTTGTGTGTTAAACATGTCTGAATGAAACAAAACACAACTCGAGGTCTGTTTTAATGAGGAAACAACATTATAACAAAGATCAGAAAGCTGTGCAATATGAGCCCTTTAAAAACATCCAATATTTATGTTTGAAATCCCCATTTTATTTTTCCATTTAGCATGATTTTCTTTTAGCACGAAGTTATACCAAAATAGGTTTGTAATCTCACATTGAAATACATATAAAGACTTGCTTGCCTAACAATTGCATGAACAAATACAAGCAAATTTAAAAGCAATTTGAAGAAAACTATGCGTTATCAAGCTGTACTAATTTCCCTTAGGCTGTGTTCACACTTGTCCCGCTTTAATCCTGATTTTGGCCTGACGTAGTCTTGGTGTGGTCCTGGTCTAGTTCTGGTTTTGTCCTACTTTTAAAATGACGTGTGCAACTTTAACCCAATTATCTAATGATGCATTTACGTGTACAGACTTCACATTAAAGCACACTGGAGCAAAATCAGGACTAAACTAAACTAGAGCAGGACTAAACCACAAAATAAAAGTGTCTATTTCTCACCTTCACTGTAGGTGACTGCAAACGCACAGAAGCAGACTCCGAGGAACACCACTTTGAGATCCATGATGACGACAGTTCGGAAATGTCTGGATCCGACTGTTCCCAAGCTCCTTAAGAACTACCCCCCCTCGTCCTCCTCTCCTCACCCCTCCTCCTCTCCTCTCCTCCTTTCCTCCCTTTCATCATCATCATCATCATCATCGCCACCTACCAACCCGCTCACTTACTTCTGCTTCAGTTCACACAATCAAGGTACAAAACATACCAGTTCAATTCAAAACCAAATGATGATGACAGCTAAATAATCCTTTGCGATTCTTTTATGAAAACAGTGTGGTGAGGGTTTTAAGTCGTTGATGAACTAGAAGTTTTCACCAAGCAAACAAGCCCTGACAAGTTTAATTATAAGTACTTTCTCAACTGATTTTGATTTGATTAATGGCACACGTTGTTAAAAGGGGTCACGGTTAAAGCACCCAAGGGCAAGGGACTATATATCTTAACTAGAATTGGTCATAAAGAGTCAATTAGTTACGATAATGTCAAAACTGGATGTAATTTGAAGCTATATTTTCAGAAAACTGCGATAAAATATGATAAGCACAATGCATATTTGTGTGCATAGGTGTGTCTTTGTGAACCGCTCACTTACCGCTTCTCAGCCTGTAAAATCAGACAATAAAATGTGACTTTGTTTTTGATTTAATCAATGCTCTATTTTGCCAAGTTCTTTGAAGCAAACTTATGCAACTGTGAGAACACCGTTTGCCAAAACTTCCCCTGAGACGCAACTGAAGCTTGATGCAATTACAAATGTCATGGATCTGTAAAAATAATTATAAAGTAGATATGTGTACTCTAGTGATAACTGTCAAAACATGCCTAACAGATAAAGCCTGTCAATAATATGTTTGGTAGAAAAACAAGATCTATGTCTAAAAAAACGAATGAAATTTCAAGTAGTTTTTATTTATCTAATTATTTTTAATTTTTATTCACATTCAGAATTTGTTTATAAAGGTCCTGTATTATGCAAAGTTGACTCTTGTGAGCTTAAAGTCATGTTATAATGTTGTTACCTCATTAAAAACATACATGGAGTTGAGTTTTGTTTCATTCACACATATCTGAGTAACTCTTTGTTTATTAAAGTCTGTCCACATATCCAAAGATCATAATAGTCTGTTCCACCTTGAGATGTCATGTAGTGGTGGTTTTCAGGTTAACAGCCTAATAAACAATGTCCATTAGAGACACACATTAACCTAAAACAGTGATAGTAGTTACTTTGCATCAATGGATCAATATGAGCTTTTATTAAATTTGCTTAAAAAGCCCATATTACACTATTTTCTAAGATCTGTTATAATGTTGTTTCCTCATCACAAACATACCTGGAGTTGTGTTTTGTTTTATTCACACATGCTTAACACACAAACCCTGCAGATTTAGGTTAGGAGTTCTTCTCTCAAACAAAAAAAAACACCGTTCTCCCTTGTGATGTCATGTGGTAATACAGGAAGTGCTCCACTGTGTTTTTAAACTCCATACACCATCACTAGAATTATTTGGATGATTTAAGACTTGGAATTGCCGATCTCTACTGAACAAAAGATAAAATGTAGGTAACTTGAAAACTACCACAAGGTGGATTTTGAGCATTTTGAGCTTTGGAGAGTAGACAGACTAATAATAAAGAATTACAGTATGAGTTAAACACAACACAACTCCAGGTGTGTCTTGGAGGAGGTGAAATTATAACATGGTTTAAAGCTCACAGGAGACAATTTGCATCATATAGTATCTTTAATATTTGTATGTGGTAAGTTTGCATTTACATTATTACTGGTAAATTATGGTATGGATTCTAAATGCTCATTGAATAATGGGTTGTACCTCACTACACTGTATTTAAAAGAATACATGATGGACAAAACCACATAAAAAAGGATTCAACTATTGACATAAACCTGCTGTAACTCAGTGGATAGTCTTGTCAAAGGTGGGAGTGGGTTGAGACTCTATTGTCCAAATAATGATTGCTATAATCAATACTCAAAAAGTATTAAAAAAATGTATAGTCAACTAGGTACGATTAATTGGTTCATTCTTATATTGTAACTGTTACATTGTATGTGCATTAGGTTTTAACATAAACCTAAAAACAGTGCAGTTATTTTGCATCAGTGAATGAGTTATTTGAGCTTGTGTTCCTCCAGTTTAACATTTTAATTTGATAAGATTGCATTTACTTAATTGGTACATTGTATATATTAAAGGTGTCCACACTTTTTTCCTCGAGGGCCATTAATTATTCAATAATGATTCAAACATGTGGATAGAATGAGCCAACAGATTCATGCTGAGATCCTCAATAGGTTTTATAAACTTGGCTTTATTAGGATCAATTTTTAAAAACATGCAGTCAAATATACATCTGAAGGTAATATGAGCCAAAAAACCTGCAAGCCTAAAGGCCAAAAACAATTGATCTGAGGGCCGCATTTGGCTTACGGACCATAGTTTGAACACGTCTTGTAGGACTGGGTATCATTCAGAAGTTGCCAATACGATACATACCACTATACAGTGAGCTTATGATTCAATACAATTCAGTAAGATATATATTTAAATTAGATTTGATACGGTTCAATAAATATTAAAAGCTGAATCATGACTGTGAAAGTAAAACCACTTCTTGTGCAAAGTTCACAAATATTTTAATTAGCAAAACAGTGAAAATGTTAAATGTGTCGCATAAATGAGTTTCCTTCCTCTGAACAAGCAACAAAACTATAGTGCTGTAACAAAATAAAAAGTAAGTAAAAAGTAAAATATTCCAAAAAATACTCTTGGTGATATATCGATGCAGCAGCACACAATATCAATACTGTATCATCACATTAAACGGTACAATATAACAATATTTCAATATTTTTGGACACCCATGTCTGGTATAAATTGATCAAGGGGTCATATTGGTGTATTGCTTGGTTTCAGATCAGATTAATAATAATGAATACAGATTTTGTTGTAGCACAGTGAGTTGTAGTCCATGAAACAAATGATCAGATTCAACATTTGTGCATTTACAATTTGGATATTTGACCAAAAGTACAAAGTAAGAAACAGGTAAAACCGAATCTTTCCCCCCCATTATTACTTTATGACATTATCAGGTTCTAAAATCTTAAAACCACCCATTTAAGAGAATACCTAGAGGACAAAACCACATTAAAGGGGATTAAACTTTTGACATCCACCAGCTGTAACTCACAACGGGCACACTTGTCAAAGATGGGGCGTCCTAGGGCACTTTTTAGATGGATACGGGAACACATTATCCACAGAGACAGACTTTGTGTAAATACTGGAATAAAGCCAGACTTTTCAATCATCTCACATGTGCTATTCTTCTTATTTTCTCTTAACACTGTACAAGTCTGCACATAACAGAGAATGTGCCCACAGGAGGTGAGTAAACATGATGGACCACGCATTTTATCTTTCAATCATCAATCAAAGTTTGCTAAATCCACTTTTTGTCTTGCATGTATTAACAGTTATACAAGAGAAATGAAACGTTCCTGTCTAAACTTTTTCTTTATGCTACTACTTTAGATCTTAGTTACTCCTACATCCACATACGGTGTTTGTGGTAGAGCTGGGCAATATGGATATAAAGATTTAATTGTGATCTTATTCCTGTGATGACCTGCTATGTAGGTCAAATCGCTAAATTGTGATTCACTAATTATATGGTCTATGCAGCTCTGCCCAAACTCTGCGTGCGTGACAAGTGGCTCTAACAATGAAGTGAACAGTTTTTTTCGTTAATCACGTTCACCTTTTTGTTGAAAATCAAACACCTAAACAAGACCAGGAACCTTGCATTAATCACAGACTCCTGAAAATGTGTTGTTTACATACACTTAGTACTCTTGGTATTTTCCATGGATCTATTAAAATAACTGGATAGGGCTTTGCTGCCTGTAGCTGCCTCCAGTTGACGCCACTCACTAGAACTTCAGCGGAAAAAATCTCCTGGGCTGAGAGAGGATTTTTCTCATAGAGCGCAATGTAATCACAAACTGCTCGTGTTAGACTGACCCGGCACCTACAACTTTCAAAAATGTCTGATTTTGTGGCGATTTTTAATTATTTTTATATCATAAACTTTTTCTCAGCTCAAAATCCTTCAGTTGTCTTAAAAAACGCTTTGTAGTTGTCAGCTCTGGCTCCACTCTGCTTCGCCCTAGCTCCTTTCGCTCTGATTAATAAGTAAGTAAGTTTTTATTTATATAGCACTTTTCACAAACATTTTTGTCACAGAGCATCATTCAGCGTTATTCATTCACTCTATACCTGGTGATGGTAAGCTACTATTGTAGCCACAGCTGCCCTGGGGCACACTGACAGAAGTGCGGCTGCCATGCCAACCGGCGCCAACCGTCCCTCCGACCACCACCATCACTCACGCACACACCACTTTCATACGAGGCAATGTGGGTGAAGTGTCTAGCCACTAGCACCAGTGCTAATTGGTCAAAGCGTTCATGTGATACACAAGTCCGCGCTCCGTGTGTGCGCTTGCATGGATTCACGTGTGCCCACGGGAGAAAAGAGCACTACTGCGCATGCGCGGTTGGACCACAGCCACCGGAAGTACCTCGCCAGGCTAAAGGCTAATCTGAAGTTATGTGCCATTGAGTTTGGACCACTGACTTGAATGGGTGGCCATTTTGAAACCCTGGGCTTGGTATTTCCACGTGACCCGGCCCCAGATAAGTGGAAGAAATGGATGAATGGTATTTCTTTTTTGAGTTTTCTATCTATATATTTAAAAACGAGCATCACACACCCATGTTGATAAATTGCATCAGCTGCAAAGTATCAATATAAATGTGTACTGTTGGGTAAATAGGTAAAATGAATCATGCTGAATTTTTCCTCTTTTTCTTTTAGTTTACCAAACAGGCAACATGTGAAGTCAAGTGTTTGGCCCTAAGACTGAATGGTAGCAAGTTATTTTGGTATTATTAAAGACTATTGGACTATTGAACCACTAACCTTTGAGAGGATTAACATCTCATTTTCTCTCATCTAATCTCTCATTTAAATTTTTATCCAGTTTGTTTAGTATGTTTAAATTGATTATTATTTCCTACTGGTGTGTTATTGAAAACTATTGGGCTATTGAACCACTAACCTTTGAGTGGAATATTATTTCACATGCCAAAACCTTCCCCTCCAGGTGCACAACGCCTCATTTCTTATGTTTATCCATTTTATTCAGTGTGTTTAAACCTATTCGGACACACTAATTGAATATGATATGATTTCCTACTGGTGATTTGTTGTGACACTTCAAAATACTTTGATTAAATCTTGAGGTTTCAATGTTAAATCTTTTCTGTGATTCACTGGACAACTATCTAATTACAGTTCTGTCTCAGAGCCAGAAGTCAATCACTCACAAACCGCATTCAAAAAGGTGAGTCATGTGTTTTGTCAAGGACACAATAATAACACATGCACATAAAGTGCTGCTGCCACAAAGCATAAACTAGTGTTCCCAACAGTACAAGCCAGACCCAACCATGCTTAGCTCCCAAGATCAGACAAAACCGGTGGCACGGTTATGATTTTACGCAACAGTGCAGCTTCTACTTTACTTTGGTAATGTTCACTGATGAACTTTGCACTGTCACCCGTTAACTTAAAGCAGTCAACTTTGCCTTACAAAATGGAAAAGACAGAAACTTTTGCTGCAGAGATAATGAATTTACTTTTGGACGCCATTTGTGAAAATACATTTCGTTAATAGAGGAAAGTTTTCCGTGTTTGTGGCCGTAATGCAAAACACTCACGGAGATACAGTAGTCAAAATAATGTCAAAAAGTAAACAAAAGTGTGGTGGAATAACCCAGTAAACTGCTGGGTAATTTATCACTCTGCTGATACTTTGCGGTGACATCACGCGGGGGTGTTCTACATGTGTTTCTATTGGCAGAATGTTCAATAGCTGCCATGGGCTGCCATGGTGACACAATGCACACATTAGCAAAAGACCAAAATGTTTTAATATAGCCTAAAAACTCAATAAAAAACACAAAACAGATTTAAACAACACATTTCGGGAGCGTTCATGATCCAGTTTAGTTTAGTTTCATTTTCAACAAAAAAGCTGGGAGTGACTAAGTAAAAAACTGTTGGCTCAGATATCTATGTTGTAACAATAATTTTACATTTAAGAGACATGTTTAAGCACGCAAATCAGTTCACCTGTTGGAGTTCCATCCAAGTCGGCTCTTTCTGGTCAAATTGTGTTAAAATAAAGCTCAGATTAAAGTCTAATTCGAGTAACAAAGCTTCTAACAGAGTAGTGCTTTCAGCTTAACACCCCCAGGGAATGTTGATGACTGGCTGTTCGGCTGCAAAGTATCAATAGTGTCAGAAAACCTGTTCATCCAAAAGATCAAATAGAACCAGAGCTTAAATGTAATGTCTTATATACAAAATACCCCGCATGTCCTGCAATAAAACATACATCGGTGAAACAGGGAGGGTGTTCAGTACACGAAAAAAGGAACTTAGGACAGAGTGCGAGAAGGAAACAGCAAAGGCGAAACACGAACGACAAAACACAAAGCAGAGCAGGAACAACTCAAATCGGCCATTTCTGACCGCTGCAAAAGAGAGAACAAAAATTATGGACTGGGACAGAGCAAACAGGATTGAGACAGAGGACAACAAACATTGTTGCTGGATTAAAGAGGCAATAGAAATACAGAAACGTACCCATGAGACTACAAACCAGGACAAGGGGGCCTTTTTACTCTCACACACCTGGGATACTGTCCTGAGGAAGTCGGACTGCAGATGGCGCTGTCTTCCTACCAGAAAAGGCAGGATGACAGCACTATCTGCGGTCTCGAAAGCCTGTATAAATCAACTCACCGGAAACATCACAGCAACGCGTGACCACTCTGAGGAAGACCGCTAGTGAGCAGTCGAAACTGTAAAATATGAAAACAAACTCTTGGTCTGAAAAAAGAACCTAATAACATAAATTATCGGAAGACCAAATTAAGCTCATTGGACTAGTGTCAGAAAACATTGTACATTGTTTAGCATCTTAAAACTTGACAGGTTTGACTATTTTCACCAAACCACTAAATATCATTATAGTTAAGATTTTACTTTACTTTAAAATCCCTCCTAGTTTGTTGTAGGTTTTACATTATTGTGAAAATATTCATTTTACATCCTGGTTGGACACAGATACAGGTAATTACATAACGGTAACCTTGAACGACCATAATCTAAACAAGTCCCAAACTTGTCTAAATTGCACAAGAGTTTTGATTATACCTTTATTTTGTTAAGCTGTAATTAATTGTCAAAAAAAAATAAAAAATCCCTTCCTTGTTACCTGGCCAGCCAGAACCACACCCTTTTCCAAAAATGTACAAAGATGAATGAGTCTGGAGCTATATCTTGTCTCCACAATTTCAATGGGCGTGATCGACACATGAATTAACCAATCAGGGAAATGCATGGTCCACACACCAAAATGTTTCATCATTTGTATCTGACGTGCCATTTATTTGCTGATTCGACCAGAAGTGGATACTCCTGTGCGGAAAACAGCAGTCTGACGCCGAAACCACTACGCTACATCAACTCAGCAATCTCTCTTTCAACACCTGTATTTGTCATATGCTTTACCATCATTTCACCATGGCTGTGGCAGGCACGTTAACTCGAGAAAGTCAATGGACGAGTTAGCACTGTTGTTAAAGCCTGATTCTGCTCATTTCCGAGTGCCTCATGCGTTCACCACATCTCATCTCATCTTGCCTCAAACTTCACTTCCATGTCTTGATGTAACACGTAACTGGAGACATTATCTTGTGACAGCCACTGACATTGGACAATTTACGACCTTTATTAAATTTTTTTTGAGGGCATGGCCTGTTTCATCTTTAGAGGGATTATCAGACTATGTCACTAACCACTTCACTGCTCTTGTGGCCTGCAGAAAGAGCTGCTGTCCTGGCTTGTATCATGTCAGTGTTTTGTAGGATTTCAAGCTCCTGGGGGGCGGGGTTAGGTGTGTCGGAAACACTTTATAATAACTACACCTTATTTAGCCTTAATAAAGCATGAACAAAGGCTTAATTAATAATGAACAAAGACTCAATTAATAATGATTCACGCTTAGTAACTACTTAATTACTACCTTAATTAGCACTTGCACTTAATTTGCCTGTGCTGTAAATAGTTATTCATAATTATTTCATACTTAATTACTCATGGACTAACCATTTGAGCATTTATTAATGATTTGTAAGCTATGAAAGAATAATTTACTAATAATGCAATGCAATGATCATTCAGGCAGCTGTTATCTGTTAGTTAAGTCTTTTTGAGAGCTTTTCTAAAGTGAAGATGAATTATGCTTTATTAAGCATTTACTAAGCGTGAATCATTATTAATTAAATCTTTGTTCATTATTAATTAAGTCTTTGTTCATGCTTTATTAAGGCTAAGTAAGGTGTAGTTATTATAACGTGTTACCGGTGTGTCCATCAGGTATGAATGGATGTCCGACCACTGACGTTTGGGCCATTTCGGCTCTTTTACCCACTCACCTGCATTTATCACATGTGGGTAATTATGATGTATCCCATTCACTAATCTTCATTTAGCAGGATAATTTATTTTATCACACGCTGGTAAACTGTTGTACATACACTGACAGCATTCCTAGCTGATGTTGCGACTTTCTGATAAACAAATAATCCATCTGTAGGACTAATAATCATGTCAAACATTACAACGAACACAAAGTCATTAAAGGATTTGCTGCCATAGCGACACACTGTGGTAATTTGGTGCACTGCCATGTTTACTTATCTCTCATCAAGACATGAACGTGAAAGGCTCGCTCAAGTTTGCATTGTACCGTCTTAAAACATGACCATGAACCCTTTAGGTGTTGAAGGAGAGTGCACTGAGTTGACGTAGTCTAGTGATTTAGGTGTCAGAATGTTGTTTACTACACAGGTGAAGTGAGATCAAGGCCCATGTACCCACTTACTCATATTGTTACGTAACCTGTTTAATGTAGTCATACCAAACAACACCAAACCACTTACAGGTATGTATGGCAGGTATAGGTATGTGCAGTTGTAAGGCTTCATTTACTTTATTCTGATGCCAGTGTATTTATCATAATCATGTCAGACACAACTTTGATTGGAGTTGGCATTGTTCTATCAGCAAATGATACAAATTAGCGGCTGGGGTTGGATTGTCTCAAGTTTGGATGGAGTTTTTTTTTACAACCTGTCATCTGGTTCTACATCTTTCTGTAATCGAACAGAATGTAGAAGGGGCTGGCTGTAGGTAACCTTCCTTGTGCATAAATTGCCCCTGCATTTTGGATGGAAATTTCACAAGTTGAGGTATATAATATTGTACTTACATACACTGACATATTACACTTTAAAATTAGTCTCACTGAAAATTGTCTAAGATGTGACGTTCCCGACTTCAACCTTATCAGAACTCAGATAAAGTCTAACTTGAGTAACAGAGCTTCTAACAGAGCAGTGCTTTCAGTTAGCTGCACATCCTCAGGGAATGTTGATGACACCAACTGTGAGTTTGTGTTGAATATTGAATATAAAGCAGTCCCCACTCATCATAGGTCTGATTATTTACGGATTTACGATAACCAACGTACACAAACCTCAGAGAGAACAGTGTTTTCAAATCCACTTTTATTATTGTGTCTTAACTCACTTCATTTAGTATTGCACAGGATTAAATCTCAAAAATATTACATAAAATCTAATAATCTAATGCATAAACACAATTTAATTCAGCTAATCTTCTGAGCTAGAAATAGGCTAAATCTACCACATCGCACATCGAAGGCAGTCTCATAGGTGTGTGTTCCTCATTGATTGTATTATCAGCAGCAGGGCTCATTGTCTTGGCTGGTGCAGGGTCAAGGCTGGGGGGTGCTGTAGGTTTGTTCTGAGAGGGGGAGAGCGCCCTCTAGTGTCAGTACTCAGTCTGTGTTCTGCTGGCTATGTGCAGCAGGCGTAGCAACAGCTCTGTGGGCGAGCTGTGAGCCCCTTCTGAAGATTCACTGTCCACCAGGCAGTCTGAGTCCAGCACACAGCTCTCTGGAATACACCAGGACACAAAATGTAAGTCTAGAATTACGAATATATACGTTATAGGTGTGAAAGTGCTAACAAATGAAACAATGACGCAATTATGCAATTCAGAATATGTTTTGCTGCCACTGAAAGTAAACAACACTGACAAACCGGGAATTTGCTTTGGCGATGTGGTGCAACATAAAATAATGTATAATGTTAGTATGATCAAATAAAATAAAGTTCTGCAAACAAGGAGTTAGATAGAAATATAATTTAACTGAAAATAAATACAAATATCCAATGTGGACAAATGCTTCCATCATTAATCAGATGAAAAGAATAGATTCATAACTTAAAGATGCTCTGTGTAACTTTTCTAGTGGAGGTCTGCTACTTTTTAGTTTCCATGGACAATTGGAGATGTTATTACTTTATATGGATGTTTGGTGCTATATTGCATTAAAGTTATCTATCTTGTGCATTTTTTTTGTTATGGGTATTTCTATTGCAAAAAACATCTTGAAATACACAAGTCGCCTCTCCACAAATTTGACCTGTAACTTGGTCTGCCGTTCCCTGCTTGTTTTACTTTAATGCCGTACTGTGAAACATCTGAGACAAAGCAGCAACGTGCTTATGGAGATGATCAGCACCAAAAAGTTAAACAATACACCTTTAACTTGGGAACTTTAATGCTACCAATTAAAAACACCTTCTCCTGCAAACTATACATGTAACTCAAATGCAGTCACAGAGATCCTGAATTTCTTCACAGGGATGGAATCAATAGAGTATCAATCTATCAGTTTATCTATCTAACCTTATTCATCGGTTTGTCTCTAAGTCCCTCATTTTTTTACCTGAGTCACAGCAGAGTCCCGAGGCAGCACAGCGCCCCCCCTCTGATCCACAGGGCCTCCCTCCAGACTGGCAGGGGGTGAGCAGGTAGTTCTCCTCCACACAGTGAGCTGTTTCTGGGGACCCCATCAGGCAGCCCAGGCCCTCCCCACAGCAGATACTGGGGCCAAAGCAGCGGCCGCGCTCTCCAGGACCACACGACATGCACTATAGGATGACAAAAGAAAACCATAACCTTCATGTGAACAGGAATAAAGCAGGACAATTTTTTTTTTGTTGTTTTAGTTGTGATCTTTAACAATAATGTTCAGTTATTAACAGTTAAAATTTCTATATACCCTGAAATTATGTAAATAGCATATCTATTCATCTAATTGCACTGGATATAAAAGGAATTTCCGAGTAGCATAATTTATTCTGTCGCATAACACTTTTAACCACATTAAATAACATATTTTGGTTCAGTTACATGTTAACACTTTTGAGTGTTATAACTATAGCTACATTTTAACACTATAATAGCGAAAGAAATGATCAAAATTCCTTACATTTCAAAGGTGTGCCATAAATAACTTAACAATGCTCACTAAAAATACATTTTACGCACTATTAGGTAGATTTTACGCACGCACAATGCTCTATCCAATTCACTCAACAATCACTCTACCCCTCTATGCTCCGGGGTGTGCACTCACCTGTCTGAGGCTGGAGTCTTGCAGCGCTCTCTTGCCTCCTCGGGGGCAGTTCTGGATGTAGCAGGCGGAGGAGAGGGCGATGAGTCCCAGGACGCACAGGGGGAGCATGGAGTGCGACATCTCTGCGGCTACGGTTCTGGCTGCGGTTGCGGTTGCGTTGTTCCTCCGCCTGTTCCTCGAGTCTGACAGTTATTCCCCGGTCGATCTCTCACTTATAAACTGATGGACTAAAACTAACAAAGCGTTCACACTCGTACGTGACGTCAGTGTCAGTTGTGTTCCGCGCGCACATGTCGTGAAGGCCACCGCGCGCGTCCATGTGCCAAGAGGTCACGGAAGATATGGTTTTGCATCAAATCTTGGAAATAAATAAATCCGCAGAGACCGGTGGTGTCTGAGGGAACAAGATGCCTTTTTCAGTATTCAAGACCATATTTGGAATAAGTTTTCACAATAACACCCGTAAACATCGATCAAGCCAAAACGGCAAAACAGCTAATTACATTTTATGGACAGCTAATTGGATTAAAATAAATGAGTCTGATTGTTAGCTTCTTATGTTGAGCATGCACAAAACTATTCTCTTATGGTAATTATTAGTCACCACACGGGCCTTTCTGATTTGTTGCTATGTTTATTGTTATCAGCTTATATTAAAGCCATAGGTTAGTGTCTCATTATGGCCACGTAGTCTGGCTTAAGATCTGGTTAATCAGAAGCAACATGATTATGCAACATAAATAAGCATAAACATGAACATGCCACATGTTCTAGCAACAAGTGAGTACCAGAAGCTGTAAGGCAGGGGTTCCCAACTACTGGTTTGGGGGACAAAACAGGACAGTGGGCTATCTGGGGTCACGGGGGGCAGCAGTCTAAGCAGGGAGTCTCAGACTTCCTTCACCCCAGACACTTCTTCCAGCTCCAGTGGAAGTACCCTGAGACATTCCCAGGCCAGCCGAGAGACATAGTCCCTCCAGGATGTCCAGGGTCTTCCCCAGGACCTCCTTCCAGTGGGACATGCCCAGAACATCTCCCGAGAGCGGAGCCCGGGAGGCATCCGGAACAGATGTCTGAGCCACCTCAGCTGCTCTACTCTGAGCTCCTCACCCTATTTCTAAGGCAGTGCCCAGCCACTCTGTGGAGAAAATATATAAATTCTTTGATGTCTACCACCAAATTTACTCTTAAAATATAGTAAAAATCAACCTAAATATAGTGTAAATGAAAAGCAAACATGATTACTAAGAGAAATTTTTCAAAATATGGTTAAAAGTTATAAGCATTTTGTGCTGTTATTACGTATTAATAACCATATTCCCGGGACCGCTGCTGTAAAGAGCTCAGTAAGGTTTGTCAGTTTGGTTATTACTCAGTTGAAAGTAGAGTAACAACTGAGTTCATTTAAGTTAATTTGCATATAATGAGTCAGGCTGATATTATTTTTATTTGTGATATGTTTCTAAAGGATTTAATAATGTGCTGTCCTTTTGCACATTACAATCTTGGAACGACTCTCACAGTGCTATACACTAATCATTATTTATTTATTCACTCTATATGCTCCATACAAACTATTTCAGTAGCCACAACTGCCCTATAACTGACTCATGGAAGCAAGGCTGCCAATCTGCACCACTGCCCCATTAACACATTTAGAAGCATGATACATTGCTAGAGAAATATTTGCGAAAAATGATCATATTGAAAGTACTTTATGCCACTGACACAAGGTAGGATTATCCCAATAAACCTATTTTTAAATATTCAGTATCATTAAAAGCCTTGAGCTCCAACAAATAAAGGAGAATGAACTAATAATAACTAGCAATATAATATTTATTCAACTCTCTATTGCTCAAATCTTACCATGTCACATAAAAATTGCTCAAATTTTGTAAAGAAATTGTACACATGAAAATAAATATTGAGACCCAAAATACATAGTTCGAGCGTTCATATATTGAACAATAAGGTGGTATTGCAATTATCACGAGAGGCCTACCAATCACTCACACTCTCACATAGACTAAGCAGGTACAGTGACTTGCCCAAGGACACCATGACAGTATTCATTGGTCTGAGATGGGATCGAACCATCTTCAGGTTGAACACTTAAAAAACTGAGCCCCCTGCTGCTGAGTGTCTGGCTTCTTAAGTCTCAGATCTGGCGGATACGAGTTCATGACCTTCGTTAAAGTCTAATGTTGCCAAGGGAAACCATCAACAGAAAGGCTGTTTGTGGCTGCGGTGGCTAATAGGACCCGCTTTCAGGGAAATGGTGCACAGACAAAAAGGGGAATGTGTTAACAGTTTTAAAAAAAAGACAAGGACTGTGAGGAGGTGTAAGACCACTGGAACAAATAGTGACCAGTTAGCAATCCACCAGATCTCCACAAGACGTTTTGGCAAATAAAAAATTTAAGATATGTAATCAATATATAAATAAGAACTACATTTCAGAACCAAAATTATCGGATCAATGCATCGTCTATTTTGGAAAAGCTACTGACGTGTATTTAAAGGTGCATTGTGTCATTGTGTCATGTTGTTTTGTCTAAAATGTTTCACAGTATGGCATTCAGCCTTTTTTTCACAGTCCAGACCAAGTTGGAGGTCAGATCTGTGGAGAGGCAACCCCGCTCACAGTCAGAATGCATGTTTTTGTTGGCATCTTTGAGCTGTAAAAGTAAGGAAAAGCTGTTTAATGAACACAAAGAAACATGAAGGTGATAGATCTCCAACGAAAATGTTACATAGTGCATCTTTAACAAACTATATGACATTTTTGGGAAGGCAAGTGACCACGCAAAAGATAAACAGCCTTGGTCAAGCTAATTTCCAGTTTCATTATCAGTGTCCTCTTGCTCTCCGTAGCCTTTCTTTGTGTCAGTACAAAACGGCTATATAAGGACAAAGGCACCAAGGCTGTGACAGTACAATGGTTCTGTAATGAAAAACTCAAGTCACAGAGCAGAGATCTTTCATAAATTCAAGAGTCATTCAGTCATGTTTTTTTTGTCAACTTTAGTAATTACAATGTAGCTATCGTAGTACTTTCAGGTTAGATGGAAACTGACCTACACTACCAGTCAAAAGTATGGAAATTCCCTCTCATTCAGTGTTTTTTTTTTTATATGTTTAGAACTTTTGACATTTTGTCTCCATACAGAAGACATTAAACTTATGAAGTAAGACATATGGAACTATGTAGCAAAGAAAAAAAAATTCTGCAGAATGTTTTTCAACGATGCAAAGTGTGGCTAATTGGAGCCAGAGGTGGGACCAAGTCATTGTTTTGCAAGTCTCAAGTAAGTCAAAAGTCTCTGACATCAAGTCTGAGTCAAGTCCCAAGTCAAAGACAGGCAAGTCCAAGTCATTGGCCCATAAGTCCAAGTCATGTCCAAGTCGTCTGCTTTGAGCTTCAAGTCATTTCAAGTCTTTTTATTTAATGTATTTGAATTTTAAACTAAACTGTACTTACAAAGTTATGGTATATTTATGTGAGTATTTATACAAGAGTTGTAGAAATGCAATTTTTTCCTTTTTAAATGTCTTGTCAAGATCTTAGTGAGAATCATTACGGTCCGAAGTCATTGACCTTCAAGTCCAAGTCAAGTCCCAAGTCCTAAAAATATTGACTCAAGTCTGACTCGAGTCCAAGTCACGACTTGCAAGTCCCCACCTCTGATTGGAGCTTTTTTTCTTCTTTGCTACATAATTTCATACATCTTACTTCAAAAATTTTATGTCTTCTGTCAAATGTAGAAAGCAGTAAACATACAGGAAAAAACACTAAATGAGACGGTGAGTTCAAACTTTTGACTGGTAGTAGGTAAGTGTCATTTTCTGGACCAATCTATTGAATAATTTACAGTTACATATGTTTTATTACTCAAAAATACCTTGAGAAACACTCTTGACGATACAATATCATGATATTTTAGTTATTGTTACATCCCAATTGAAGAGGTTACCCCACTCACGGTAAAAGTCTCACAAAAATATTGTAGACTGTCACAATTTATGAAATCACAAGTTCCTTTGTTTAAATGCATGTTTTATTGTAGCAACGAACTTATAAACATTGGAAACTACATATCCCATGATTCATTTCAGTGCAGACAAAATGAAGATACACGTTTTTTCCTTGATTTTTTGGGATTATGACAGAAATAATTCACACCAAAATCTTGTCAAGGTATTTTAAAAGCAAAAAAGTGTCCCATCTACAATTATTTTAGCCTTTTCAAAGTATATCGTACCGTGAGATGCATATTGTGATAATATCGTACTTTGGCCTGGTGAGGTTGGCCATTTGTCTCCACAGAGGCAGATAGTTTTAAAGCAATAATGTGGAATATTCCAGGTTAGTTACATACATACAGTTTTTGTGGAAAAGTAACATTTCAATATTTTCCAAAGATAAGATTATAAAAACAGTGACTTATTTTATTACATATTGTTGACAATACTGCCCACCCTCTTTCCCTGCAGAGTTCACCTTGCCATAGTTACTGAAATACCACTGGTTACGTGTGTTGTGTGTATTCAGTGATGTACTCGTATGACGTCTCTGCGTGGAGTGGAGCTGTGGCAGGTCAGGCAGGAGATGTTTCTGAAGGTGGAAGTCCATTTTGGGTTCAGAGTTTTAGAGGGCGTCTGCAGACAGGAGCGACAGAGGAAGTGTCCGCAGATTAGACGGTAGAAGGGAGAGGCAGGAGCGGAGTAAACAGAGAGGGAGCAGGAACAGGCAGAGCAAATCTTCTCATCTGAAAAAAAGAGGGGAAAAAAAGCACGATAAATTAAGTTCAAGTTTATGAATGAAGTCAGGATGCTTTAACAAAGGTGGTCACAAAATCGCATTGATAATAATCTGAAGATTTTTAAGACGTAATGTAAATATGATCCATCATACAGACTATCAATGTATCTCTCCTGTTCTCTTGGTTAATGCATATTGAGCACTGCCCTATGCTGTTAAATAAATTCAGATTCAGAATTGCTTATTTTTTGTAGGTTTTAGGTCAGTTTAAGTGGTCAATGGTCAAATTTAAATCCAAAGAGGTTTTAAAATTTCACTGAATCAAATGCAGTATTTTAAGTTTTATGGGAAAATGCAACTTCAAAAAGGCATTTTCCACTAGGGGTGTGTAAAAATATCATCGTATCACTTAATATGATGACACAGTATCAATATCAAGGGCTGCTGTATTGATATATAGAGTTTTTTTTTTTTGTATATTTTTTACTAAATTATTTTGTTACACTGCTACAGTTTAGTGGCTTGTTTAGTGGAAGGAAACTCATTTATGCAACACATCTGACATTTTCACTGTTTTGATGATTTAAATGTTTGTGTTTCATATGAACTTTGGACAATAATTGGTTTAACAAAGACATTTAGTATCACAGCCATGATTTACCTTTTATTTTTTCTTGAACCGTATTGAACCAATTTGAAATATATTGTATCAAAGCGAAAGCTCACTGTATCGAGTTATGCATCGTATTGGCAACTTCTTAATGATACCCAGCCCACATTTCCCACTCACTCTTACTTTTATTATCACAATGGACACCAAGTTAGTACAATAAAGTTTTTAAGACTCAAACTGAATATGATGTCCACAATCGTTATATCTTTAAGTAGATTTAGATTAGAAATAGATAGATTAGAAATATATTTTTTCTCAAAAAAAATGTCCTCGTATTTATATATCACCTCATATAATACTCAAAAACGTCCCTGGAGCTGTGTTTTGTTTCATTCACATGTGTTTGAGTAATCCTGTTACACCTGTCTACATCTACAAACCTCAAAATGCTCTGTTCCATCTTGTTAATTTTCAAGATAACACCTAATATTTACACAGAGTGGAACAAAGTGTTTTCTGTTTGAGAGAACTGAATCTAAACATGTTGGATTTGTGTGTTGAACATATGTGAAGGAAACAAAACAACTCAAGGTATGTTTGTGATGAGAAAATGACATAGTAACATAGATCAGAAAATTGTGTATGTTTTCATGCAGAAAACATTTTACGCTTTTTATTCACAGTGTCTCTCTTAACAGACATCAGCAGCTGAGACACATGTGAAAGCTCCATTGACTGTTTGGGCTTTACATACACGTCCTTCTCACAGAACATGATGAACAAATGCTTTTGTTCAGGTACAAGGTTGTTTTTCTATTCAGTAAAATCGTCCTTTGGGGACAGTGGAAAGATGCTGTATTTAGAGATATTATTCTGGCTTCCACGAGGCTTTTGTCCAAGTTCCAAGAAATTTCAATAAAACTACTGGAACATGTACAGGTGGGTGAAATTGTCAAAAATTAAAGGAGCAACTTTTTGGTTGGGGGTCTGTGTGCGTCTGTCTCCTGCTTGTTTCTATGGATATGTCTTTGCTCTGCATGGAATGTTCCACAGAATGACATTAAACAGCTCTAGCTTACATTTATTCAATTAAAAGTGGTTTTATAGCTCAAAAGTACCTAGAAGAACAGGCATTCTGACTGTGAATGGGGTTGCCTCTCCAAAGACCAAGACATCTCCATGAAGAAAGATTTAATGCTATACTGTGAAACATTCCACACAAAGGAATAACATCTCCATGGAGAAAAGGTTTTAACAGACCCTCCACCAGAAAAGGTACACAATGCACCTTTAATATAATTATTAAAACAATTATCCTGATTATGATATTAGTAATATTATTTATGTCAATCCAGAAATGTGTGGAATGTAAAAGTCATGCTTGGTTCATGTATTGCATAAAAAGTGAATGGATTAAATTCTCCAGCATGCACACTTGAATGTATACACACAGATCTATATTGTTATTCATATTGATAATAATATTAATATTATGATTATTGTATTGATATCATCTTATACATTTTATAATTGCCTTATTGTAATATATATATATATATATATATATATATATATATATATATTTTTTTAAGTGAAAGGTAGCTGTTACCTTGAAAACTACCGCTTCATGACATTACATGGAGGAACAGAGCAATTTGAGCATTGGAGATGTAGACAGACCAATAACAAAAGGCTCAGCCAAACATGTGCGAATGAAACAAAGCACAACTCCAGGTTTGTTTTTGAAGAGGTAACAACATTATAACATGACTAAAAGCTCTGAAGATTAAACTTTGTGTAATATAGGACCTTTAATGTTTACCCTGCTTGATTACCAATGCCTATTTTATATATATGTATATATATGTATATATATATATATATATATATATATATATATATATATATATATATATATATATATATGTATGTATATATATATATGTGTGTGTGTGTGTGTGTATATATATATATATATATATTATATTTTTTTTTTTTATTGTACCAATTGTGTCTACATTCAGAAAAAAACTACATAAATACAATATAATAATATTCAAAACTACACCAGCAGTATTATTCATTAATAGTATTCATTTTTAATGCTGGAACCTTTACTTGTTGTGCCTTTAGCCTGTGTGTGCTGTGGTTGGTTCAAACTCAGGTTGGATGTGAAGGAAGGTCGGCCCTGAAGAGCGGAAGAGAGAGCTTCGTCCAGACTGGCTGACAACCGCTCTTCATGAGAGCTGCACGTGGCCTCTGTACAAACAGGACAAATTAAGATCTTATTTACAACAGCAGAGACATTTGGTTCCATTTATAGTCTTGGTACAATATTTTTTTTTCTCTTTACAACGCTGATTAATTTCCCTACCTGTGCCCAAAAAAGTATTTTGTAAAATCAGTATTATGTGAAAAATAAACCACAGCATGCTGTCTGCAACATGTTATGAACCATTTTTAGCGATAATTCATACTCAGACCTAGGCAAAAGGATTTGTCACTGTTGTCTCTGGTTAACTGTTCATTTCAATTTGAATGGCATAAAACTTATTTTATTCCATAGAGACAAGCAGGTGAACATTTTAAGTGAGATCCGTGGAGAGGAGGATGGATGTTTTTGAAGGTATTTTTAAGCTATAAAAACACCTGTATTTGAATTAGATTGATAAGTTTATGGCTGTATTAAGGAAGATTCCAGATATAATATTTTCATGGAGACAAATGTCAGCCACCCTATTCAACAAAAAAGTTACACAGTGCAGCTTTAAATGTCTTGTGATCTTTAAGCCATGTTATAATGCTGCTACCTCATCAAAAACTTGCCTGGTGTTCTGTTTTGTTACATCACAAGGTGGAACAGAGTGTTTTCTTTTTGAGAGGGGAACTCAGGAGAATTTCTGTGTTAAATATGAGTGAATGAAACAAAACACAACTCCAGGTATTTTTGAGATGAGGAAACTAGATTATAACAGAAAATATAGTAATATGGGACCTTTAAGTTTTATACTCACCTGAGGCTTTGTCATTTCTAGGTCTTTTTGCTTGAGGTAGTAGAGTATCTTGACTATTTTCTGGTGTGTTCTTAGTGGATATTTCCAAGTCTCGTTTTCCACTATTTAAAGCTTTAGTCTCACTTTGATCAGCATTGCAAGTTCCTTCTCTAATTTCAGAAGCTACAAGTCTTGAAGGATGTGGATTCACTTCAGCTTGCCTCCCTAACCTCCCCTCTATGTGTTTCAGCGGCCCCTTCTGCAGGAGAAAGTGGTCTATGCGGGCTTTGAGCTGTGGATGGGGCAGAGGTTGAGAGGAGGTGGTGAATGGGACTCCGGTAAAGGGGTCGTTAGGCGACCGACCCCACGTGGCTTCTGTTTTCTGGTATTCCTCCAGAGTGCTGTGATCAACTGACACACCACTAGGGAGCAGCATAGGCAGGACCATCACCTCCTGTGTGATGGGGTCAAGGAACTCTTCGGGCACTTGTGAACTTCAAAAAAGAAAAGAAAATTGCAATTAGTTGTTTAGGGAACAAAAGAAAGATGATTGCAGATCTGAAGTATATTTGAAGTGTTTTGATCAACATAGAAAATACTATTATTATTACAGATTTTTAAAGATATGTATGAACTGAAAATTGTGTAATCAACAGTATTCAAATATGTGGAAAAAAAAAAAATATAATATTGTTTTGAACTAACTGAATGTTATGTTTTCTGGGTGGAAGATCACACACCAGCTTCTCTGCATGCAGATATTATTGCTTTGCCTGGTATGTTTCACAGTATGGCATAAACATCACTAGTTGAGTGGCCAGATCCACTGACCCACAGGCTGGTGGTGTGATTCTAGCTCCCACAGATGAATGCTGCCATTGTGTCCTTGGGCAAGACCTATCTCGCCTCCAGTGCCTGCGTAAACTGGTGTATGAATGTGCGTGTATGAATAGGTGAGTGGTTCTTTGTTGTAAAGCGCTTTGAGTGCCTTGAAGGTGGAAAAGCGCTATATAAAAATGTGACCATTTATAAGTGAGGTCTGTGCAAATGCAAGCTCACTCAGAGTAAGGATGCATGCTTTTCAGGGTATTTCTTTGCATTGAAAAGATCTTTAACTGAATAAATGCAAGTTAAATGCCATATTGTTGCACATTCAAGGTAAAGTAATAACATGGAGACAAACAAGTAGTGGACTCATCAGAAAAGAAAAGTTCTATAGGGCACCTTACATATTTCAAGCTGTGTGTGTAATGCCTCATTCGTCCAGGTAGAATCCATGATCTTTCATATTATACCTTTATATTATAAAATTCATACTCCTCTCTCCTCTTTTTTGTGGTTTATATTTTCCTATAGAATGAAAACCTTATAAAGAATTATAACATTCTTGCTTTTACCTTTGTGCTGTAGGTGCTCTTTTTTGACGTTTGGGTGGACAAACAGGAGGGATAGATACAGGAGTTTGTGTTGGTCTTTCACTGGCCTCATGAGCTTTTCGTATCCTCTCCACTTCTTCTTCTGAACAACACTTTGCCGGCTGACCCCACACGGACAGCGCTTTGAGCCCCAGAGCAGACGCAGCGCCCCCAAAAGGCAGAGCCACACACAGCTGTGTCACGGCACCTAACGACTGCACCCCCCGGCTCCAAAGCTCCTCATGACGGCAGTTTGTGAATGGGGGAGGAGCAGGGTGCTGGAATGGAGAGCGGGGCCTAAAATGTTTTTGAGAGAAACATACTTTGGTTTCCTCTCTAAGCTCACATCGGCCCACTAATTTGAAATCGGGATTAGAAGACTCCCTGTTAGATTGATATGTGGATTCCTGGGCTTCACTTGCACCCCACTTCTGTGCCTGGTCCCTCCACAGATGCCCATTGCTTTGTGAAAGGTTACCATTTTCACGGTCTTTCCTTTGTGGATGATCTTGAGTTTTGTTTTGTTGAATTTGTTTTGTTGAGTTTGGTCCAGAGCAGGTGCTGATTTCAAGTTTCTTACAAGCCTGTCCTCGGTCCATGCCCCAGGGCCACAGCTCCACATCCACTCTGCATAACTCCACTTTGAATTCAAAAGTCAGTGTCACCTGCAAGATTACAAAAGAGCTGTTGTGTAAATGGTTAAAACGTTATCCTCATGCATAAAGCATTTTAATAACTGTTAACATATTTTCTTTAGAGCTGATACATTAAAAATAATCACAATGTTGTTGAATTTCACAGCAAATAAGATTGATGGGACATTTAGTATTACGAATTAAAGTTATTTATACTGTGTAGGGGTGGCTAACACAAATGTATACCCGAATATTTTTTTGGAGTATCCTCAAAACAACAATGTAAATGTGCAAAAACTGGTCTTTAAAGTTTAAATCTATGAATTAAGATTTAAGTTTCAGACAAATGTGAAATGACAGTAAAATACAAATAGCTTCATATCCCTATTTGGAAGTTTACAACTCATTTTTATTTTTAATCAGCTTTTTTCAGAAACAATGTACATCATATACATTTATTTAAATCTTCAATATTTGGAAGTTTACAACTAATTTTTATTTTTAATCAGCTTTTTCCATAAACAATGTACATCATACACATTTATTTAAATCTTCAAAACAACCTTCACAATATTTTGATGTATTATCCACCTGTACTTATCAATATTTTGAGTGACTTTATTGTTTGTTCAGGCCTTAATTAGTTTTGTTTATAAGAGGAAAAAAAAAAGATCTTTCACTGTTTATACCAACAGTGTTACCTGAACAGGAGGACGCAGGAAGTACTCCAGTTTGAAGCCCCGTCTCCTCAGGGCAGGGTCAGCTGAGACAAGGTTTGTGACGTCATACCCATCTGCACACAGCTGTAACACATTCACAACACACAAAACATTTGCATTATAAAGACTTCAATAAGTCTATTTATTGTGACTTTTCTATACACTATAACATAACTTCTAACCCATATTATATTTATACCCACATCTCTTTTTTATTCAGCCTTATGTGTTAAAGGTGCACTGTGTACCTTTTACTGTTTGAGGGTCCGCCACCTGCTTGTCTCCATGGAGATGTATTGTTTTGTCTGGAATGTCTCAATATGGCATTAAATATATCCATCTTGGTTGTACTCATTAACATAGATTTTATTGGACGTAAAAACTTGCATTCTTACTGAGTGGGCTTGCCTCTCCACAAATCTGACATGTAATCTGGCCCTGTAGTGTCACCTGCTGTCTCCATAGAGATAAATAAGTGTAATGCCATACTGTGGAACGTTCCAGACGCTATCTCCACGGAGACAAGCACGTGTCCAGCATAACATTTACACAGTGCACCTTAAACCTGCTTAGTTTAGTCTCCTCATAATTCATATTTATTAGGAAAAGCGCACAATGAGACTTCATGTAGAAAATGAAAATAAATTCTATTGCCTCTTGTAAATTTCCATGGATTATTTAACCAAACCTTGAGATGCAGAATAGTCTGAACGTGTTATCCCACACTTCCTTCATATGAATGTACAGTGTATTGTGATGATCAGTTTAGAAAATACCAATGTAAAGAAGTCCACAAGGTCAGCTGTGTAATTCAGGCTCCTACACAGGTCACTGTCCTCTCCAAACCTCCACCTCGCTCAGGTTTAGTGTACATTATTTTCACTCACAAGAAGCTGTACATTATATTTTTAAGTATTCTATTACCTTTACCTTATCTAATTCCCCTGATGTTTAATCAAAATCAGTATAAAAGTGAAGATAACATCCTTGAGATTCACTGAAGCTATGCAATTCCAAGATTCTTCAGCTTTATAATAAAATGGCTACGGTTTGATTATTGTCTCAATAAAAAACAAATTAAAAATACATTTCAAAAAGTGAAGAATAAAATGAGTGAAATACCTTGTTGCAGTGAATTGTTGTGTGGAACTGCGGCAGACAGAGGTTGACAACCATTCTTGAGTCTGAAAATAGAGAAATTAATCATATTCATTGTATTTTCTTGACCAACTCACTTCTATTCTTTGTCTACTTATGTAAAACGTCTTGGCCATCTTAAAAAGCGCTATACAAATGCTATACATTATTTTTTATTATCACCTACAAATAATAACCAGCGGGCCAAGGATATTCACAGCATCACAGTTACACATGTCACCGTATAAGAAAGCACATGTTTTGACCCTTTCTTAAGCTCAAACGGCCTTCAGCTCTATTCACTGGGAACAACTCCGTCCATATGAATAAAAAGCATCAACAACATTCACTGTGAGTCACTCTCTGCACTAAACCGTGAAGGAAAACATCACAATAAACGCGTGGGATCTGTTTTGGAGGCAATTCATTAATTTGTCCACAGCACAATACATTCAGAATAAAGTATAACGCTAACATTTATGTACAATGACCCAGTATTATAGACCATATATAGGAATATTTTTTATACAGTCCATGCCTCGTATCCAGCCTGTGTCCCCATTAAACAGGAGAAAAAATGACATAAGCAGTAAAATTCTGCTGCAAACTGCGTAATATTTGTGAGGAAACTTGAACAGTTTTTGAATATATATTTAAATGTTTTTAATACAGGCTCTTACAACCTTGGCAATAGTTCTGACTGAATGTGAATTACCTTCGATTACTTAACTAATTCAGCTAAATATTCATAATCATGAGCACGTGTTTTAAAATTTCACCTTGAACATAAAAAAGGCAAATACTTACGTCTTTTGATCGTAAATACAAGGTCAAAAATATTCAAAAAACACAGTTTAGTCCAACATAAGTAAACAGCAAGCTAACGAGCTAACAACATAGCATCACGATTGGCTACGGAAACGCATCAAGGACAAACTTAGATTACGCTTAAATTTAATAGGAATACATTATCTAACCCAATAGAACAAAACATTGAGCAATAAAACTTGTGCAGAACATACACTAATAATCTGCTAAACGTTATGGAGGCATGGATCTGAAATAAGCTCTTACACTTACTATTAAAAAGCTAAAAAAATTAGTATCTGAATGTAATAACACGTTTAACAAATTACATGACAGAAAAACCTGAAAACAAGACAGGCTACCATAGCAACGGGGGTCTGGATCAGCTGAGTAGGACAGGTTTATGACTTTTCAGGAAAAACAAACAAACACACAAAAAACAAAAACTATTAAACAGCCTATCCTATTAAACAATCAAGTGGGATTTAGTAGAGAAAACCTTCATTCTGTCGTTATCAACTTATTTAAAAATAAGAGACTGAGACTCAAAAGTCAAAAGCAATTTAAATTTATCTGAAATTTCAATTAACACAAATAAAAAGGACACCTGGTTTACAGATTTAAAAAAGCAAGTTCTGTGTTTGCATATTGTGAATCCGGAGGTCTGGTTCTAGTATTCCTTCTCCAGCAGATGACGCCACTGCTCTGGACAGCGCAAGGTACTTGGTTCTTAGGTTTTCCTCTGTAAAAATCATAAAGTATATATAAGTATAGCAATAGCACAACCGTCAGATTTCCCCACATTTCATAATTTTATTTGAGAAACATGTATTTTTTTTTCCTTTGTAAATTCTACACATAATACACATTTTATTCAACATTACAATATTTACAGATTAGTTTACAGATGTACTTTTTATTCTAGCAGCAGGACGCATTTTGGTAATAACTGACTAAATCAAACCTATAAATATAACTTTAAAACTACAAGATAAAAAGACAGATTTAAGTTGGTACAGACAATATATTAAAGTGTATATGGCATGTTAGCAATATTTATGAAGATTTCTCATTTTATTTCCTGGTTGAACACAGACAGCAGATACAGAGGCAGTTTCATAACTTTTACCGAGCAACCATACTGTGAAAAAGGGGTGAGTCTAAAATTACACAACAGTTCAATTATCCCTGCATTTGAAAGATTTGAAAACAGACGTATTCCTTTTTAGAACCACTATGTCCTTTATTTGTGTGCTTTTCTTTTCAACTTTGGTCCAGAAACTAACACAAAATTGATGTAAATCTATGATAAACATTCACCACAAGTAAATATCACCAAACCAAATACAAATAAAGCTGCCATACACACTTTAAGCTCGGGCTAAAAGAGGCAGGTTTTATGCCGAAGCAACCCTCTCCATTTATCCAGGCTGGGGACTGGCACAGAGGGACACACACAGCGCCCTCTGTGGCTGGATTAGACCCACCGCCCGTGTTTGTACAGAGTTAGTGTGTTAGTAAGTGCGTGCAGACATACTCACAGTAAACAGCAGCAGCCTTTGGACCTGTAAAGACTAGTTTAAAAGTTTAGTAAAACAGTTTAGATCTGCAATGAGAAGAGTCAGAAGAGTTAGGGTTAGAAGTGTCATTTCACAAGACAAGCCCAAAACAATTTTACAACATACACAGTGGCAAAATTAATGAGATTTAACCTTTAACCCTGTAAAGTTAATACAACGTTTAAACAGAAATGTCAACGTATTTCAAACGAACAGACCCTGTGCAAACCTGTGGAAGAGTTGGATTAGGACACGACAACTAGACTTTCAGTTTAGTGTCAGGGTTAGGACCAGAGCCATCAGACTCTATAAAGCAGTCCAAATCTGGCCCACGTTTAGACCAGTTCAGACCAAACCAAACATAAAACATACACACAACCCAAAGATCAAGTCAGTTTTCAGACCTTTTTAACTCCAAATGAAACTGTTGAAGGGTTAGTTTACAATAAGTAATATCAGTTTCACCCAACCATAACATGTTTTACCAGCCTGTTTAAATCTGGCCCATATTTAGACCAGTCGGGTCACACACCAAAAACACACAAAGGCCCAAGCCCTAGTGCAACCTGTGGAAATTATGGTGTAAACAATTAATGTGGCCCACTCCACATTTAGACCAGATAAGACCAAGAGAGACCAGCAGTCTCCAGAAAAGTGAGCCAACATTTAGAATATGGCCCACTTTTGGACCAGTTTAGGCCCAAAACTAAAGCCTGTAACATAAAATCCTCAGCATATTCAGGTCTTGTTTTGAGAAGATTCACACAGAAATGTCACCTACCTGAGTTAAAGTCTGCATGAGCAGACCAATGAATCCAGTGAAACCTGCAGCAGGGAAAGATCCCTGTGAGATTATGTGGGTCACAAACCCAAGGTCAAAGGGTCAGAACTATTACATTCAGACCACAAAAAAGTGACAGAATACAAGGGCCTCAACCCTTGGACCAAAACTCAAATCAAGATGAGTGGCTGAGCACTCACTCACAGCAAGAAGGTTCCTTTGTGTGCAGAATCTGCACAGGTGTACGGCAGCAGCTCACTGCTCCTGACAGGCTGCAACAGCAGCACTTTGTTGGCGATGAATGAGTGAAATGCAGAGGGAGAATTTCCCTCAAAAATTCCCTACGAAAATATACTGTACCTTAAGATTATTCCAGATGATTAGGTTTTAAAACGATGTCTGTTTCTCCAACCTGAAAACTCCAGGGTTAGTCAGTAACATATGGCAGACATGTTTTAGCTTTAGCTGTTTTCAAATAAAATAAACTAACATCTGCTACAGGTGTCGCAGATGATTTTCATGTCTCACAGTTGCAAGACATGAAGTAGATTTACAAGTAGCTTAGATTAATTATGAACTATTTAACAATGATAATAATAATAATAATAAATTGATACCTGCAGAAGGGTTAGAGGACACCACCCAAACCTGCAAACACAAAGGAAAAGTTAGAAACAAAATTACAAATACTAGTGAATTTCAGCAAAACAGTTTTAAATTCACCTTTGGGTTTTTGGGGGAAAGCTGACTGAAGCCCAACCCAACCCAACCCAAAACAGAATTTTTGGTAAACTCTTCTAGCAAGGTGCTCTGGATCACTTCTTTCATTCATTCTATATTTTATATCAGAGCATAGCCTCTGATGTAAGATTTTCCATTCTTCTTCTTAGTTCTTGGGTCGTTTTTAACTTCAGATGGAGCCAAAGGTTCATTTTTCACTGATCAGAAGCACTCTTTAGCTTCTAGAGCAGTAGTAGATATCACAGAGTTGCTGTAAAAGGGTTAGACACCAACCTAAAACCTGAAAACTCCAGGGTTAGTCAGTAACATATGGCAGACATGTTTTAGCTTTAGCTGTTTTCAAATAAAATAAACTAACATCTGCTACAGAAGTTGCAGATGATTTTCATGTCTCACAGTTGCAAGACATGAAGTAGATTTAACTTAGATTAACTATTAACTAATTAACAATGATAATAATAATAATAAACTGATGCCTGTGGAAGGGTTAGAGGATGCCACCCAAACCTGCAAACACAAAGGAAAAGTTAGAAACAAAATTACAAATACTAGTGAATTTCAAAAAAACTGTTTTAAATTCACCTTTGGGTTTTTGGGGGAAAGCTGACTGAAGCCCAACCCAACCCAACCCAAAACATAAAGTTTAGGTAAACTCTTCCAGCAAGATGCTCTGGATCAATTCTTTCATTCACTCACTCCATATTTTGGAGCAGAGCCTCTGATATAAGATTTTCCATTCTTCTTCTTAGTTCTTGGGTCTTTTTTAACTTCAGATGGAGCCAAAGGTTAATTTTTCACTGATCAGAAGCACTCTTTAGCTTCTAGAGCAGTAGTAGATATCACAGAGCTGCTGTAAAAGGGTTAGACACCAACCTAAAACCTGAAAACTCCAGGGTTAGTCAGTAACATATGGCAGACATGTTTTAGCTTTAGCTGTTTTCAAATAAAATAAACTAACATCTGCTACAGTTGTCGCAGATGATTTTCATGTCTCACAGTTGCAAGACATGAAGTAGATTTATCTTAAATTAACTATAAACTAATTAACAATGATGATAATAATAAAAGTGACACCTGTAGAAAGGTTAAAGAACACCACCCAAACCTGCAAACACAAAGGAAAAGTTAGAAACAAAATTTCAAACTACTAGTGTATTTCAGTAAAACAAGACATGAAGTAGATTTAACTTAGATTAACTATTAACTAATTAACAATGATAATAATAATAAACTGATGCCAGTGGAAGGGTTAGAGGACACCACCCAAACCTGCAAACACAAAGGAAAAGTTAGAAACAAAATGACAAATACTAGTGAATTTCAAAAAAACAGTTTTATATTCACCTTTGGGTCTTTGGGGGAAAGTTGACGGACATTCAACCCAAAACACAGAGTTCAGATAAACTCTTCCAGCAAGGTGCTCAGAGTGCATCACAATTTTCCTTAATTAGGCACTTGTTTCAGTTTTACTATTACCAATCACCCCAAACCCACACGAAACGCAATACAAGGACCCAAAACCAAGTGCCCCCTGTGGAAATGAAACATTAAAATGCAGAGCACATTTAGACCAGATCAACCCATAAGAGACCACGCAGTCTCCATTAAAGTGTGTGTAGAATCTGACACATTTAAACCAGTTTAGGCCCAAATCTGAGCCGTTAAAATCCTCAGCATTCAGATCTTGTTTTGAGAGGACATGAGGTAAAGAATAAAAAGAAAGAATAGATGTTTTAGGATCTGAGGTTCACACCATGACCATTGTACAGTTGGATGCATTTGCGTACGGTTTTATATTTCCAGGATAGATGAGAGATTTTTATTTTCCAAGTAGGTTTTCATCCCATTTGAAACCTTTGATGACACTTTCCAGTTTTTGTATTGCACTTGTTTAAATTCACATGTTTGAGTATTTTATGGCAGGTCCTGTACCATCCTTATATCATTCATGTTTCGAAAGTGATCATTTAATTCCCACAAATGTACCATTCTTTTCATATAATTCATTCAGTCATTGTGTTCTAGTTCATTGACCCAAG